ATTGTAACATTCATTCTGCTATTGTTTTTGCAAATTGACACATAAAGATATACAATATCTGACAAATTGTTACAGAGCACATTGACAAAGATTAATTCAATCTGTGGAACAGTTTTCAATGGAGTGTCAAAAGTGGCCCGTTACTGTTTTTCCTCTCTCTGTTCTTTACATAGCGATCTTGTCAGACAAATCACAAATTTAGTACTTTATTTCATCTAATTGATCGTGTATTTCTTTACTGAAATTAATTTTATACTATTATCTGAGATATTTTTTAAAATAAAAATCATACCCTAAACTTAGTTGTTATTCTTTGATTTCCAAGAAATGAAAACATCCCAGATCTGTAAGAATTCTTTTGTTATATATATCTAATAATTATTTCATAAGATAATTTCGGCAAATTATTCCCATAACATGTTGAGTAGTTTAGAGATTTGAGATTATTTTGACAAAATGGTCTCGAACCGTCATCGAAAATACTACTTACTTTGTTTAATGGCGTTTGCCTTACGCTTTCCAGGACGCGTAGCTTATACAAAATTTCAATTCAAAGTGTCTCTGATCTGAAAACAAAAATTAATTCTAAACCTTCCTTACGAACCAAACACACCAAGACTGATGGAAAATTAATTAACTATTTTTTGTCGTGTTACTGACGTCTTCAATGTGCGTATGTTATTAAGAAGAACGCTAAAAATAGACTTGTTTCCAATTCTTATATTCCCAGGCATGTAAAACAAGTTTCATTGCTGGATTTATCTGAAGAAGAATTAGACAGCTGATATTTTTTCCTGTTCAACTTTCGCAGAAGGTTCCTGCAAGAGTGTCTACTTATTTGGGGCAAGCCAAGTTGTTGTAAGAATTTCTCATTGATTCAGTTGATTGAAATTTGGACCGGAAATCCTGCAGTTCAAAAACCTTAATTAAGATTTTTTTTTTCTCTCTCTTTTGACAAGTGCGCAACAATTTTTCCATTTGACAACAGGGCTCAAGCGTGCGCAGTAATACCATGATTTCTTGTGCTGTTGCTTCTGTTAATAAACAGATCTCTTGAACACGGTATGGATGATTGTAAAGTTGCTTCTTTCAGAAAATACTTCGGTGTCAGTAAGAGCAAAACGAACTTCTCCCGTGAAAAAAATCATGGTGATTACTCTAACAGCAACATTAAAAAACCGAAAATCGTGGTAACTGAGCTAAATCAGCTATTTATATAAAAAGATCGAAGGAAAGAGCCGCTCTTTCCTACGTAAATTTTACAATGTTTCTGGGATCTCATCTTAACGGCGGTGTGATGAGATCGCAGAAACAACGCAGGTTTTGTTGACCCTTAAGAGTGACCAGCATGAAATTTCTCCTTACATTATCACCTCAGAATCACACATTTAGTTCATGTGAATAAAACAAATGATCACCAATTAAAGAGGCTATTGATTGATAAACAAATTCTCCTTCTCAGCACCTTAGGATATGTATAGAGAACAGTGCGGAGAATATGCATAATGATGTTAGAGTGTAAAGGGTTAAGTTTATTGTTACTATACTCAGGTAGTACTTATTTAGACTGCATAGTCAGATAACACTGACATCAACATATTATATGGTAGTTACGACTCTTTGAGTTGCATCCGTTCGTTTCTTTGATCTTCGCAAAGATAATTAATCTTTGCCGGCTATGGTATGAAATTAGCTTGTAATGGCTCCTATAAAGCAGGAAACAAAAAACTTTCGCGAGCTTCTACTTTTGGTAAAGCAAAGTGGCAGCTCGAATGCGTGCTACTGCAGCCGATGAATGGGTGAAATTGGGAAAAAGAGAGGGAAAGAACAAAGCAGTAAGCAAGTGCGGGAAAATGTGGAGGTGCTCAAAAGCGCGGGAAAAGTCCAGCAACAGGAAATTTTGCCAAGGTCGAACTTCTCGTTGTATCTGGCGAGCGATGTGCACGTGCGAACATTTTACTTTGGGTTCATCGATATAATACTGTTGTGCATCAATCAGTCGTTGAAAACTGAGACCGAAGGTTATCTTAATACAGTGAGATGAAATACAATGAAAATAAAGGAGTGGTGAACTTAGTTTTATTTACATTCAAAGGATTACAGTTGATTTCTGACAAGCACAGTTATGATCAGATATAAAGTTGATGTTAAAATAATTTGTAAATTATATTTGACCATTTCTTTGTATAACTCGATAGCGACCTAAGGTTCCGACGTGCTTGATAAATCAAGAACAAGTGAGGTCGAAATTTCATTCAGAGGCCTTGTTAAAAGGCTTCCTTCCTAGATGACATAACCACATCTCTGTCAAAAGAATCAACCGTCCGACAAAGTGTTTCTATACAAACTGAATTTTTTTTTCATGGTAAGTTTAACATATGTTAAATATCGGGGCTAGGTAAGGCTAAACGCCAATGTCAAATCTCCTTATCTCTCACTCTGTAGCAGGCTCTCATCCAGTCTGGAATCGCCTGCGAAAAACCGCGCTCAGCTGTTTTTCTGAGAACCACAACCGCCGTTTGTGGTTTGCTCGCCCTTTCGCATGTCTTTACTGTCTTGGAGACTGGAACCGACTTTTTATGTCTCTATCCACCTCTAACCCCCCTTAAAACTACATACTGTTTTTTTAATGTTCCCTGACATAAGGATAAAAACGTTTAAAGATTTTAGCTACACCTCTAGCTGGTTAAAATCTACAAGACTAGTCGAGCCTAATGATTAAATAAGATTAAAAAAAGAAGCTGAACCTTGGGCGACATGTGTTGATATTGGGGTTGCATGATTATATTCTTGTTATTTCCTTTTTATTTTTGTTATGGTAAAGCATAGTATGAATTGAGAAAGAAGGAAAATGAAATGCAACCACGGCTTTGTACTATGAGGGGTGATCACCGCCAATATTTTCTTTCAAATTCTACTATAAATAACCAACAATTTCCATTTCTTCTCATCAGAACTGAAACTAAACCGGCAGAAGAGAATTTTAAGAATTAAGAACAAAACGCAAAGGAATTTAGTTGACGCTGAAAGTCACTGATCAGAGCCACAACTGAACCAAGAGAACAACATTTGAATTATAAGAACACTTCTCTCTTTTTGTGTCGCCACAAACCACAAGTGATTTTTTGGCTAGACTACCCGTTTTTGGATAATTTAGTATGTCTGTATATCACCAGAATGCCAAATTTATCCTTCAATCTTTACGGAACAACCAAACTTTTTTTAAAACTGATGGGTATGTGATATATCCCCTTTCATGGGCAAAAAAATGAAAGAAAATCCGGGTTGAAGAGAATTTAAGAATTAAGAACACAACTCAGAGGAATTTAATCCACTGATCAGAACCAAAATTGGACCAAGAGAACAACATTTAAATCGTAAGAACAGAAACTGAGACATGAGACAGAAATTGAAGTAACAAGACAGAAATTAATACAACTGATCATCCCGCTGTTCAATTTCTGTTCTGATCAGGCCAAGGGACGTGTCACGATCACGAGTAACCGAGTGAGGCCCGGGGAAGTTACTCAAGCGCCACTTTCGCTAGGAGCGGTCCTCTTGGCTTTCAATTTCCCGTCCAAAAAAAGTTTTCTTTCATTTAATGGTCCAATTTTGGTTCTGATCAGTGACTTTTAGCGTCAACTAAATTGCTTTCTGTTGTGTTCTTAATTCTTAAATTCTCTTCGGCCAGTCCTCTTTCATTTTTTGCCCATGAAAAGGGTTAAGGACACATCAGTTTTAAAAAAGGTTTGGTTGTTCCCCAAAGATTAAGGGATACATTTAGCGGTCTGGCGATTTCAGACGTACTGAATTATTCAAAAACGGGTAGTCTAGCCAAAAATCACTTTTGGCTTGTGGCGACGCACGAAAAGAGAAATGTTCTCATAATTCAAATGTTGTTCTCTTGTTCAATTGCAGATCTGATCAGTGACTTTCAGCGTCAACTTAATTCCTTTGCGTTCGTCAATATTGGTTTTGATTTGCTAATTTCTGTTCTTAATTCTAAATTCTCTTCTGCCGGCTCAATTTCAGTTCTGATTAGAAGGAATGGAAATTGTTCGTTCTATAAGACAGAATTTGAAAGAGAATATCAGCCTTGATCTCCCCTCATATTGCACTGATGCCTCTGTGGTAGTCTTCAACGGAGAGAAGCAATTTTCTCTTTCGATGATTCTTATAGGAACGTATCACTGACAGCGAGTGTTTAACTTCTGTGAAGGAAAACTTTCGCCATCTCGCGGCGCAACACCCAAGCTACAACAACATAATTATCTCAACAAAAAAAATTATTGACCAATGATTAAAATGATGCACACATAATATTAATCTAACTTTAAGAAAGTTTAAAATATTCACATTACTTAACTGGTGAAATGCACGTGCAACGAAAATAAAATGCACGTGCGACGCAAATAAAAGCGCACGATGGCGGTGCGCGCTACAAACGCCTCATCTTCAATGGAGAAAGGGCCTACAACTTGGGTGGTTTCTAATTGTAAGATCTGTTATTTCGAATGCTCTACAGCCAATACTGAAGAATTTCTCACCTACAACATGATATTCCAATTGCAGAGTTTACACAATGGAGGCGCCCTCAACCTTGCCAGCCTAAAATGCGCTGTCTTTTTATAATAGACTGCTCTTTCTATCGGTTCACTGGCTTAACAAACCCCACAGGATGTTAGAAGAACACGAGAAAGTTTGTAAATCACTCTTTCACTGCTCATAATCTACGAACTTTTTGAGTGTTCTACCAACATACTGCGTAGTTTATTACGCTAGTAAACGAATAGAAAATGCAGTCTGTTGCTTTTGTAACTAAAATTATGTGTTTATCAGTACAATAAATTATGGATTTTCTACCAATCAGAAAACTATCTCAAATGATAAATAAGCGACTAAGCACTGAGAGAATACAGGGCAAGTTCTGTTGGGCCTTGTGTGAGGAGAAACAAACTCTATTGTTACAATACTTACTTAGACAGCACAGTTTTTAGTGTTTAGTTTGTTATTTCGAAGAAAACTTCGATGTCAGATGGAGTGAAATTCGATGCTCCTGTGAAAAATTTACAATCTCCAGCTGAATAGCCCGTGGGGTTGGAGTACGTGCCACCGCACCTAGTATAACAGTGCTGATTGTTTACAGCGTCGTCATGCAAGTAGATGTCATGTGCCCAACCAAAAGTGGGTCCGCGAGAGGAACATCTGTACATTGCGTATTGCTGGTATCGGTATTGTGTCAGCTTCACAGGATTGTATCCTTTGACGTTGTAAAGAGAGAAAACAAACGCTTTGCTGGCTGAAGAATAAGCACAAGAACCTAAAATGAAAAGATTTAGGAGCATTAGAAACTCTGCGAATGAGAAATAAAATTTATGATCGAAACTAAGAGATCCTCGCAGCTAAGAACACTACTAAAACGAGTAGTTGAAAATAGGCCCTGTACGGGATTTGAACCCATGACCTTTGTGATACCGCAGAGGTACGGGCCCGAAGGGGCCTGAATTTTTTTTCAGGTCCTATTTTCAACTACTCGTTTCAGTAGTGTTCTCAGCTACGAGGATCTCTTAATTTCGTTTCTTCACCGCAGTGCAAATATATGAATTTCATATATCTAAAATCAGAATTCATGATAACCATAAAAATGTTTTTTTTTTTACTTGCCGTACTAGAACTGAACAATTTGTTAGAGAAAATTTCAAGGAACTTAAGAGCATATTTTCAATTTTCAGAAAAAGCATTTCAAATATGGTCCGAAGTTTTATTCAAAGGCAGCTTACGATCTAAAGAGAGTGTTAACTAAATATCCTTTGTTTCAGCTCTCCAATATGAATAATGGATACAACGAAACAAGAAGAAATGGCGCGAAATGGAGCTGTCAGAATCAAATCAAATCAAAATCAAATATCAAATCCAAAACAAGAATTTAAGTTAAAACCCGTTTCAAACGCACTTTCAGGCTATTTATGAGTCTGTCTACTTTGGTATCTCAGTTGTTAATGTGATATTTTCTGTTTCTAGGATCAACTCACTGCTACAAGAAAAGTCCACAACTAATCGATTTGTTATCTGTTCTACATGTGAGAGATGTTTGCTTGTTTTTTTTACTCACCACTGGTCCAGGACACGTCAGTGTATCCACCAAATATATAACTGTTAACTTTGATGATAGTCACTGTGGGTCCCCTCCCATCGCAGTTACTGTGGAATGTTGATGCTGCCCAACCGTCCGTCTTTGCGTGCCAACACCTCACAAACCTACTACGTTCTTTATTGATAAGGACTGGGTCCAAATACGAAAACAGTACCTTCAAGTACTGGTTGTAATCAAGGCTTCGAAGTATGGCGGACAAACCGAGGCCTGAGGCGGGAAAAGAAAAGGAAAAATTACAGTTGGCCAAATAAATGAAACAAAAGCTTTGATTGGTGGTGTCGCCTTTGAATCTAAAGTGGATAATTTCATCACCCCTCGTTTGGCCCGCCAGATATGATAATCTAACATTACTGATCCGGCAAGCTAGAAAATCCCCAGCCTGTCTACCAGGCGGTATTTTAGGCGGCAGAGAGAATGAAATTTGTTTTAAAGTTCACAAAGCAACCAGGTGGACAATCAGACATGGTTTGATGCTACTCTGGTTTAAAGATTTAATGAATGTAACCGGAAAGTTACAATTCATAGACCCAACGTTTCAACACTCCTGTCTAATGTCTTCATCATCACCCTTGATGAATGCACTAGACAGGAGTGTCGAAAGATTGGGTCTATGAATTGTAATGTCTCGGTTACATTCATTAAAATCTTTGAGCAAGAGTAGCATCAAAACATGTCTGAAATTTTTTTGTTAACTCAGCCGTTCTTTCAAGTGGCCTTAACAATTTCGTTTAATGTAATACCCACAAACCCCCGCGGCAACTCAGACAAAACTCCTGCCAGGCTCGTCATGCAACGCATTGTGTGACGAACTTAAATGAATACTACAAAAGGACTTTATAAGCCTACACATACCCTTAAAATGACAAAAAAGTTAGCTATCTGTACTCTAGCAACACAACTTTCTGAGAATATTTCTACAATACGCGATTTGATTTTGCCACAGGCCCTACTGAGTATTTATGTGTTTTTCTTGATTACCTGCTTCATAGAATACTTCGACGTCCGTTGGAGAGAAATGAGACCCCCCTGTAAAAAAGCCACAGTTACCATAAGAGTACCCTGAGGGTGTCGTGTACGTGGAACCACATCTGGTGTAGGAGTTTTGGTTGTTTCCAGAGCCGTCGGATATGTAGATATCATGACCACCAAAGGTGGGTCCATACGTATTACATCTGTACATTGCATATTGCTGATATCGGTATTGTGTCAACTTTACGGGATTGTATCCTTTGACATTATAGAGAGAGAAGATGAAAGCTTTACTGGCGTAGGAATAACCTGCACAAGAACCAGCTGAAATAGAAGAACAATGTAGTTGTACATTAAAAAGTTGGAAGAAAACATAAACCCTCTGAGAAGGGGGGGGGGGCAGTTCATATTCTATCATGAGCTAGACGGGGAGTTTTTTTTTCAGACTAGAGATTTATGAAAGGGAGGGAGATATTTTACTAGTTTGGGTATTGAAACGGATACCAAAAAGAACTATGAAAGATTTGAGGGGTTATTCTGAAGAAAAGCGAGTAAATGTTTTGAGACTTAAAGGAAAAGATCCCTTTGTTCTAAGAGTTGTCATTACTAGACATGTTAAGATGTAATGTTGTTCTGCAGGTGTATCAAATAGGAAACATTTCTATAGACGATATAGGAGTGAAGAAATCTTGATGGCCAAAAAACTAATATGAAATAATAAAGGCTTAGAGCTAGTATCAAAGAAGCATCGTTTAATGTTTCCTCTAGCGTCCTTTCCCCCCCCCTCCTCTTAAATCCCAAAAGGAATGATACTTTCGGTATTGTGTCAACTTTACGGGATTGTATCCTTTAACGTTATAGAGAGAGAAGATGAAAGCTTTACTGGCGTAGGAATGACCTGCACAAGAACCAGCTGAAATAGAAGAACAATGTAGTCGTACATTAAAAAGCTCAAAGAAAACATAAACCCCCTGTGGAAGGAGAGGGGTGGGGAGTTTATTTTCCACCATGAGCTAGACGAAGAGTTTTTTCTCAGACTAGAGATTTGTGAAGGAGAGGAAGATATTTTATTAGTTTGGGTATAGAAACGAGTACCAAAGACAATTATGGAAGATTTTAGGGGTTACTTTGGAGAAAAGCGCGTAAATATTTTTGAGACTTGAAGCAAATGTTTTAGGATGTAATGTTGTTCTGCAGGTGTATCACATAGAAAACATTTCTATAGACGGTATCCGCGGGTTTCGCCCATAACGAGTTTCGCCCAAGAAGCGTTTCGCCCATAACGAGAATGGTTTCGCCCAGGCATAAATTCGATTCGCCCAGACTGACAGTCAGTGATTATCCAGGCTAAGGGCCTCTTTAGACATATGCTTTAGATGAGCCCGGTAACCGGGCTTTTGTTTTCTGTTCATACAATGTTCATACACGACTTTTGTAATGGCGGACGTAGCGCGGGGCCTGACCTTCTTGTCTGGGTCGCACAGGTTGTTTGCAAGTTATACAACAGTCGTTTGAACACATTTTTTTGGACGAGACACGAGAAATTTAGTATGGCGGGTTTGTATGGCGATCTATGATCGAATGACTCTCGTGATCGGTATTAACCCCTTTTATACTGGAATAAGGGGCAGATTTTTTTATTGTTAGTCGGCATGTCAACTGAGAAAGGCGGACAACAACATCTTATAAAACTTGTTAACAAATTGTAATTAGGACCGCGAATTTTTTTTGGCAGGAGTGAACGAATTCTTTTCAAATTCTATTGACTAGTGAAAAGGTGAGATTTTTTTGCAAGAGTGAAAATCTATTGATAAGCGAACAGGTGAGATATTTTTGCAAGAGTAAGCTTTTCAAATTCTATTGATAAGGTTTGATTGAGATTTTTTGTGCAAGACGGTAATTTCCTTTAAGTTAAAGCTTTCGTACCGCACGCTTCGTGGGAGTAGTAAAGCTATTCCACGCGCGCGCACTCATGAACTTGACTAGTTTCTATCTCTTTTCCAATTATATGTTGCCGTTACCTATGTCAGAAATACAATCTTTAACTCTCGATTCCTTTGTTTTAGTATTCACGAAACCGTATTCACATGTATTCATAAGCTGGCGTGCGGAACTTATCTTCCGTGTACAAAAGATTTGCAACGATTATATGTTCCACGCGCAAGTGTTTTCAAAAGCGTTTAATTTAATTCTCGAGAAGAAAAGTGATGCAAAAAAATCATAGCAATGCTTTTACGACAAACGAACGTCTCTGCAGTATTTCGTGCGCGAATTACCTTAACAATCCCCGCTCCACAGTGAAAGCTATAATTGACTTGTTCGTTTCAACAGTAACTTGTTCGTTTCAAAATTTCATGATCTCAGGTCAAGTCACTTTTCTTCATTATGTGCATACAAACGTTTATAAGGTTGACGTTTTCCGAGTGAGAGTGTAGAAGTTTTACTTATGGGCGAAACCTTTATTGTTCTGGGCGAAACCATTCTCGTTCTGGGCGAAACGATATGTGCGAAACTCGTTATGGGCGAAACCCGCTATAACCCTATAGACAATATAGGTGTGAAGAAATCTTGATGGCCAAAACACTAATATGAAAAAATAAAGGCTTAGAGCTAGTATCAAAGGAGCATCGTTTAATATTTCCTCCAGGACCCTCTCCACCCCCCCCCCTTAAATCCTTAAAGGACGGAGAGGAAGGATAGTTGATCCTATATAACTGTCTTGACCCTTCTTAAAAAATTTGATATGCCTGCCTCCGCTCCAGGACACATCAGTATATCCACCAAATATGGAATCGTTCATTTTGATGATTGTCACTGTGGGTCCCCTCCCATCGCATTTGCTGTGGAATTTCGATGCCGCCCAGCCGTCAGTCTTAGCATGCCAACACTTAATAAAGTCAGTACGGGATGCACTGGGAAGAACTGGGTCTAAAAATGAAATCATCTTTCCCAAGTATTCATTGGGGTCCAGGCCTCCAAGTATAGTAGATGCACCAAAGCCACCTATGTGCGTAAAAGAAACTTGAATGTAAATTTCCATCACAGACGTTCTAGAATAAAGAAAGATGTTATTCGTCTTTCACAACCGTGAAAGTATTTCAAAAGAATTAGAGCCCCTGATCTTCTTATTCACAGGGCGAGGTGCTAACCATGTTATCCCATTTAAACTTAAATATTTCCTTGTACATTTATTTTGTAAACACATCAACTAAATTTCACGAGAACACATTTTCTTAAGTGGGTGTAAAACTGGGAAACCAAAAGCAAAAACCAAAAGTTCAGTTTAGCTAGGTTAAACTGTCTGCTTTAGCCCGACTTAGCGATTCAATTTCATGGCAAAACATGGCATCTAGATCAATTTTTTCCCTAATTTAGTCGATGAGCACTGATATCCCTGAACTGAGATACAATTCACTTAGCACTGCCGCCACCATAACCTGAATAGTATTTCGCTGCTGTATATGATCAGCGCATGCACTTTTAGAATCTCTGAACGTTGCCAAGGATTAGAGTTTATGTATATTTATTCATCGTATATTTACGACAGGGTTTTAAGTGTTTCTGTACAGTAATTACCGATTTCGAAGAAAACTTCAATGTCGGATGGAGTAAAACGAAATGCTCCTGTGAAAAATTTACAGTCTCCAGATGAATAACCCGTGGGGTTTTTGTACGTCCCACCGCATTCAGTATAAGAGCCTTGATTGTTTACAGCGTCGTTATATATGATGATGTCACGTCCCCAACCAAAAATGGGTCCGTAACGGGAACAACTGCACATTGCGTCATGCTGGTATCGGTATTGTGTTAGCTTCACAGGATTGTATCCTTTGATGTTGTTGAGGGAGAAGAGAAAAGCTTTCCGAGCATAGGAGCAACGACATGAACCTATATAAACCAGGTGACGTTGTAAGAACATAGTCACTGTAAGCTCTACTAATCAGTTGTTAGACCATCCTACAATTCCTTCAGGTCTTTCAAAACTTAAAAAGAGAAATGGGATGATCTACGAAGGAGTGGTCAAGTGTAAGTTAATAAAGGTGGGTACGGCTGCAGCCAATTTTGAAGCTTCTATAAGCTCGCTATGGCGGTTAACCAGCCATTATGAGAGTCTTATTGGCGTGAGCAACTTGGAGGGTTATAGTGGAGCCGTATAGAAACATTACCACGCACCAAGAGATCCTAAGGGGGGGGAGAGAAGAGGGGCTTCTGATATAGGCACTGAGATACGTCAATCAGTCTTATACCAGGTGTGACTTGGTATATGGCGTTTTTCTCGCGCCTCGCGCAGCTTTTGTTCTTGTTCTTTGTTTTGACTGGTCCGTTTTAATGACCTTGGTTTTGGCTTTGGGACGCTTATTAAGTGCAGTTTAGAAATAAAATATATTTAGATCCTAAATTTATCAAATGTTACTGTATGATACAAAAGTGATATAAATTTTATTATTCAAAAACGTACTCACCGCTTAGTCCCCAGGACACATCAGTATATCCACCAAATATGGAATCGTTCGCTTTGATGATTGTTACTGTGGGTCCCCTCCCATCACAGTTGCTGTGGAATGTCGATGCCGCCCAGCCTTCTGTCTTAGCATGCCAACACTTCACAAACCTGCTCCACTCTGAACTCAGGAGGACTGGCTCTAGGTAGGAAAGTAGCTTACCTGTGTAGTTGGTGTAGTCGAGGCTGGTAAGAATAACGGAATTATTAAGGCCACCTATACGAAAAACCGAAAAAGGGAGAAAAGGTAAGGATTGCCCTACCGACCGTTTTCACGTTATGTTGCATTCGTCATCTTGGTGGTGGTAATGTCTACATTTCGCTTTTTCATTTTTACGAATTACAGCGTGACAACCGTTGTGTGACGCACATCAATCTGAGGCACAACGTGTATTTCCAACCCCGTGTGAACTAGAGGTACACTTATGGAAACGTTGTCTCCCTTTCAGACGTGTTAACACAATGAAAGCGTGTTTGTGTGACATTTCAGATTTCTAAACCCAGTACACGTTATTATATCTCGCCTCGTTGTTTGCACCAATCAATGTTTTCTTAGAATTAAAGGAAACCACGAGATAAAAACATGATAATAATGAAAAAAAAATAATTAAGGTTGATCAAGTCAGAAAGTTCGACATAGTTGTGAGAAGCAGACTTCAAAGATCAATGATTCTGTTATTTTTTAAGCGGGGGGGAGGGTAAGTAAGGCGCTAAGCGAGATGTATTCTTCAATTCAACCCTTTAACCCCTAAGAGGGATTGGCTTTTATTTCCTCCTTACCCTATTACAGCCGAACAAAATCATGATCAACAGGATCATGAGAATAAAGGACGAATTCCATCTTGGTCCCGTATCAGGACCGACTCTTGTTAAAAAAGTATATATATTCGAGAGCTAATTTCCAAAGGATTATAAGCTTCACATAACGATAAGGAAAGATAGAGAATGCGAAATGCAAGTATCAAAACAAACTGAGGTCGCTCATGCCTCAACGTTAGTTAAACTCACGAAAAAGCAGCTGCTACCGAAGCAAGTGCTGTCCGACCTTATTAACAGGTGGTAAGGATCTTATTTACATTGGGTACTATTATCCTGTTGTTGTACCTGCCTATTGAGGAATTACCAAAGAGAATAATGGCTACTAAAATTAATCGCATTTTGAAACTTTCAATTAGTCAAAAAAACTCACGTTAATATTTCTGCAGCTTTTTTGACTATGGAAAAAGTTCTGAGTGATTTGGCTGATCACGATAGAAAGTTCGACATAGTTGTAAGCAACAAACTGTAAAGATCAATGAAACTGTTTCTTTTTTAAGGGGGGGGATGGTAAGTTAGGCGCCAAGTGAGACGTATTCTTCAACCCTTTAACCCCTAAGAGGGTTTGGCATTTAATTTCTCCTCACCGTATTACCGCTGAACCAAACATTAGAAACATGGGAATAAAGGAAATAATCACCAAGTTATGAAGCTCTTGATTGTCAAACAAATCCCCTTGGCAGCACCACACGGTATGCATAGAGAACAGCGAGGAGAATATCTGTACTGGTGCTAAGGAGTAAGGGGTCATAATGCAGCCCGTTTTCAGGACGAATTCCATCTTGGTCTCGATTCAGGACCGACTCATGTTAAAATATATTTCCAAAATTGTAAGCTTCATATGACGATACAGAAAGATAGAGAATGCGAAATACGAGCATCATAACCAACTGAGGTCACTCGTATCTCAATGTTAGTGAAACTCACGAAAATAGCAGCTTGTTCCGTTTCCTTGGTACCAGGAATTGCAGATGCATCGATAGGAACCAGCGGTATTGTTGCAGGAGGCATTGGCATCACAGTCATGCGATTTATTGGCACATTCGTCGACATCTGAGAGAATGCATAAAAAACTAAATGGCTTGAACTCAAGAGCAAGAGTCGATCGAAAATGACTGTTATTGGCGAAAGCGTCTCGCCGTATAAGCAATTGAACGTGACATGGTGTGGGGTATAATTCAAATCGGTTACTAAAGCAATTTTTTTTAATCGAGTGTCCAGATTAAGCCGGGATTGTTTTGGTTTTGCTTTGTTTTAAAATGACTTGCTTCAGGCAATAGTAAAAGTCATTTCACTAACTTACCGACACATTTTTTTCCGTTTCCAGTAAAATCAGCTTTGCACGAGCAACTGTGAGAACCGATGGTGTTCGCGCACTCGGCGTTGGTGTCACACACGGGAATTGTTGAATTACACTCATCCACGTCTGAAAAAATTAAATAGTTTGTGGTCAGTTTAAAAAAAAAAAGGTATTTGCTGAATTATTACTCATTCATGGATTCATCAGACCAATTGCTTCCGGCGGGAGCCAAAATTTTACTTTGTACGACCCCATCAGGAAGTAAAATTTCCCCTTCCTTATTCGTTAAATTTCATCATTATAAAGTTGTGATAACAATTTGCTATTGAATGATTATCTCTGTGTCAAAAAAGAAATTTTTCAATTCTATTTGACCTGTTCTCAAATCGATCAGTTTAAGAGAGATTATGGCATTCCTTCATAGCTTTGTTTCCGTCAGATATCTTACTATTTTTATTTTGTTTTGTTTTGCTTTATTTTCTCATTTCCCCCTATGAATATTGGGGGTCAGGTGGTTGCAGTCTACCCATAATATCTCTGTCAACGTTTTTGCTCGTGGTTAAACGACTTTTGTCTGTAGAAGATGAGAATTGATAAACACTTAAATTCACCTTCGGTTTTCATGTCACAAGGAGCCAGAACAGTCCTCTCGGGTACAATCGAGTGAAACCAGTATTTGCCGCTGACCGCTTGACCTCCTTCGCTCATTTTGATTTCCTGGCAAGTCTCCGCTGGCAGCTCAGAAATGGAACCGAGTGGGACTGGAAGAAAAAGCAATCATAGTAGCATAGCATTCCAAGTGAGCAAGATTTGACGTTCGTCTTGGTGGCGAGGACACTCAATTTGAGGACGACTTGACTTAAGGCAATAAAGGAAAGTGATGTGACACAATTTCTTAATTTTGGGTTGAAATTCTGCGCTCTGAAAATGTCTTTAAAGGGAAGAAGACAGTAAAAAAATTTACAAACCTCGTTTGTAATCTCGCTTAAAGTAAAATCTCTCATGGTTCGGAACATAATCCTCTGGTCTGGCCTCCTTGGTTCGGTTGCTCAGCTCACAAATGTCTTGCGTAAACACATAGTTGAAACTTTGACATCTGACGTCAGCATAGCATCCCCGCAAGCACACATCTGAAAGACCTGCCCCCGTGATCCTCTTGAAGATGTGGCGTTGTAGCATCATCCCAAATTTGGAAACTTCCGGCTGGCCCGTAGCCTCCCATTGCTGTGCAGCTGTACAGCATAACAGCACGGTTTTGATCAATAGCCCTACTGCGTACAAGACCTTTTTGGCCATTTCCTCTCGACGCATGACGTGGGAAAAAACGTTCCCTGAAAAGAAAAAGGCAAACAATCTTCTGGGCTAAAACTTACCCTAAACTTCTTTTTAATCCGTAGACTGGTTTTTCGTGAGTTCACGATCAACATGCATGATTCTATGTTTGTAATTTGACTTTATTTTCATTTGTTTATTTTCTAAGGATTACAAGCACAGAAAAGTCATATATTTATTAAACTGGACCTCAAATTTGAGGAAAACGGATGTTTGTTCAATGCCAAAACGTATTTAGTCAGTCGATATTTGCGGTTTTTAACCATTAGCTTGATTTGCATTCTGGTCAGGAAATGCAATATCAAATGAGTAATGAAGAAAGGCTGGTTAGAGCTGTATTAGTTAGAATAGTTAGTTAGGAGCTGCTAACGAGTTAGGATTTGGAGTTTCTCCGTTATCGAGCAGTCGCTTGAACAGCGATCGAAAACCGATTGTTGGCGACCGGAGGTCGTGATACGAACTCGAATTCTACTTGTGAGCAAACGTCAAAGCTCCTTCAAGTTAGGATTTTGAGTCGGATTTCGGGCTTGATTTTCGAGTTGCAGTTTCCAGTAAAGCAAGGCATAGAACTTGAAAAGAAGCCGAAATACTTCGTTTCATTTTTGCGGACTACAAAATTAATTGCGGTCCTGCATGACATAATTTTATATTTTAGTCAGGTCCATACGCTTTGTTTTGTTTAAGAATTGTTCATACTAATCAGTTATTCAAGACTCGGATTCCTTGTTGTCTCCTACTTGTTTTTGAAAACTTTTACGATCCTTCCGGCAAAAATTCGTTATATTCTTGATGCTCGCTATATTATACCAGCCGGACTTACTTAAACTTTTCAAGCTGCAAAGTGGGGACGTCGTGAAATTGCTTTTTGAACTCATTGATAAAGAATTTTCAGGTTATCCTTACATGCAATTAAGGTTACAAAAAAGATTGAAATAAAACGTTAAGTACCGCGTGATAAAACCTACATCAACTTCCATAAACGAGGAATTATAACTTGGTGCTCGTGCTTGCCCTATATAAGTCCTATGGAGCCGCTATGAATAAAATCTTTATTTACGCACGCCCGTGCGTAAATAAGATGACGTGAGCATTTTTTCACCTGGCCTTAGAGTTTCCGTCCTGTTAAGCTGCAGTGCAGTTTCCTTCTCTTTGAAATATGGAAGAAACCAGCGAAGAACTGCCCAATTTTTCTATCAACATTGACCTTTTAGGTCCTGATCCAACAAGCAACAAAACTAAAGCTGAAAAAAACTCGCAAGTTGCTTGTTGCGCAAATTTGTCGGAAGACCAGCTGCCGCAAATTTTGGTCGAAAGACATTCATTGAGAACAAAAAAAAAGTCACCAACTGGCCATTAACATTTAAAGGTAAAATTTCCGTTTTTATTGCTGATTTTAAATTTGTTCAACCTGGGGAACAAAGTACACAGTTGTTAAGTAAGTAAGTAAAGCCTTTATTTAAAGAGGGTGGCACTTAATAGCCAAAGGCTAATAAACTTGTGGCCCTCACAACTATTTACAATCTAAAATACTGTAAGCTAAAATATATATATATACATTTAAAATATAAAATATGACAGGATTCGATTATAAGATAAAAATAAATTATTAAATTATGAAATGATGCAAAAATTGTTGTTCCTTAAAAATCTTGGCAAACATGTTCTTTTTAAAACATGCTACAGAATTTAGTTTCCTAATTTCAATTGGTGTACTGTTCCACAGTCTTGTTGCCGAAACAGCGAAAGAGCGTCCTCCTTCTGTTTCTCTTTTATATTTAGGACAAACAGCATTAGTGCTTGAATATCTAGTGTTGCGGGAGTGCCGCTTATTATTTAAAATTAAGTGTTCATTTAGATAATTCGGCAAAGTCCCATTAATTCGCTTATACATTATTGTGCATTTATCAATCTTATGTTGCTCATAAAACGGGATCCAACCTAGCTTGTTAAACAAAGCAACTGATGGTGTCATGCGATCGGCATAACAAATAACGCGTGCCGCACGTTTTTGCAATCTTATGACCCTATGAACCGACTCTTTATCGCAATTTGCCCAAACAACGTTAGCGTAAGACATAACAGGGCGAATAATGCTATTATAAAACTGAAGTCGCTGTTTAAGAGGTAGACACGCTCGGATCTTACGCAATATTGCGATTCTAGAGGCCAACTTTTTACATACTTTCTCAACATGTTCATTAAATGACAATTTGCTGTCAATTTCTACGCCTAATAAGGTAGCACAATCCACATTACTGAGCTGTTTTCCATTTACGATTACATCTATGTCACTTCTATTTATGTTGGCCACGCGTCTTTTGCCAGTGATCGTAAGTACTTTAGTCTTGTCTTCATTTAATTGGGAATTTACCAAAACCAAAACAATCAAGGCCGCAAAAAATCTAAATCAAAAACCATTCATTCACAGTTATCGGTTAACTGGATCAAATGTTCTCGCTCAAACCAAAGTATAAAATGTGGCGTGTTTTTGACCAGCCAATAGGGACGTTTGTTTACTTTTCTGTGCGTTGTGAGAATTTTTCATTCTATCACAATAAAAGGCTTCTTCGCGCAGATCCCTGTTGTCGCTCTGTTATAAAAGAATTTGCTCATGCTTTTAGCTGTGTGTATATCGAGTTATGGATGAACTTGGGAGGTTTGGAGAGCACTAAAAAAGCTAGAGTTGCTCTCGGCTGCGCCTCGAGCTAGTCTTACGCATTTTTCGTGCTCTCCAAACTTCCCGCATGCATCCATAACTCGATATACGCACGCTAACCATGAACAAATTCTTAATTTTTCCGCGAAACTCAACTTGGAAAATTTAGCATAGCGCATGTGAATTTTCAACTGTTCAATATCTAACAAATTCCTTTTTGACACGATTAACGGGAAGTACGAGGTATACGCTTCATTTACCAAATGGAATACGGACAATTTTTAAACTGCAAAAATATTTATGAAATATAAAAAAGTGTAGTCGGAGCCTGTCAGGGACTGCTTTAGGTGTCAGAGGCTGGAATCTTCAGGGGGAATCAGGATATGTTTCACACTTGAGTCAGATTTCTAACACGACCGTTTTATTCTATCTTCACCCAAATGATCTTCGCGATATTTGTAGGAAGCGGCTGAAGAGCGCTTGCGTGTAAACTTGGCATAAGACAGGAGCTTGCCAGTTTGTGAAAGATTTGTTTACGCTGCTGCATCGTCGAGCAAAAGGAAAAAATCAGTTAATAATCAACCATGAGTTTGTAAAGGAAGCGAAAACCACCGTAGCGAAAATTTGAAAAACTGAAGTTTCGAGTATAGTCGCTTCGTGGGAGCAATACAATGCTTAGTTTATCAATTAATGAGTCCTTTTTCACAATATGCTGGGATTTGGGTCCTTGCAGTAGCTTTCCCGCACTTGTTAAACGAGGTTCCCATCTTTCTTCACATTTTAACTTTTCTCACAAAAATATTCAAGATTTTGCGAAGGCGGGAGACATAGATAGAAGTGAAAAATAAAAAAATTTAAGGGGCCGCTGCCTTCGTAGGAACTCTCCTGACTAAGCCAATATATCTTTCATCAAAGTTTACTCTCTTACTACAGCATTTAAGCCTCTCGTTTCCAGAAAAAGGTCGTCAAATTTTCTGACATGATTTTTGGGTTTCATCGAGACACCTACGGTTTTTTTTTTTTTTTTACCAGAAAGTACCTTTGCGTAGCCATGCCATACTGACATAGCTCTCTGTAAACGAAATACTCTACACAACTAAGCACAAACAAAATTACTTCCAATAATGTTTTTTTGCTGGTGATTCTTGTCTGTATGTTAGTGTAGCTCCCTAATTCAAAGACGAAGCTGAAGTTTTACATCTTAGTCAGGTCCATACGCTTTGTTTTGTCTACAAATTGTTGAAAGTAATCAATTATTTAAGACCCAGATTCCTTGTAAGTCTCCTACTTGTTTTTGAAAACTTAAGCGATCCTTCCGGCAAAAATTCGTTTTTTTGTAATACTCACTCAATTTCACCGCCACAAATGTCAGAAAACAAAAATACTGTGAAACAGCACTTCTAAACAGCGAGACAATAAAACGGTGGACCGAATAGGCCTTCTAAATCTAAGGTGATATCAAAGAAGCTTTTCAGTTTTTGTAACTTTTCGAAATTCTGTGGCTGTGCGAGTTTACTAGACGTTGACTTGCTTTTTTTTTTCCCGCAATAACTTTAAGTCAGATTATAAACTGGCATGTTGATGAAATCTCTTTCGCGTAAAATTAAGGAAAGGAAAGTGTTCCAAAACTTTGCGCCACAAAGGAAGTCGTAGAAAGTTGTAAAAAGTAGATAAAAAGAAACGCCATTTGAACTTCTTCGTTCACTGGCAGATATTGCCATAATTTAAAGGTTTTCTATCAGCTGCGAAGAATACTATGGCCATATTCACATTGCTGCATTGGGACGTGAAATTCGAGATGTAATACAGAGAATTTCCAATATGAATTAAAATGTCCTTTTTGGTCAGATTGTTTGAAAAAAGTGATGTAAAGCTCATGTTTTGAATCCTTCGATTTAAAAAATAATCCTTACGCTGTTAGTTGGAGAATTAGAAATATCAAGTCAAGTTTAACATATTTTCCGTCAGCAGCAAAAAGGGAGAAGAAAATCCTATACAAGGACTGTAAAACTCAAAACTAATCGCTTTCAAGTTGAGCTTTCTTCAGATGCGAGGGATTATCGCATCGAATTCGTTCTGACAAGTTTTCTCCTTTTTGTTTTCTCAAAATGAAGAAGTTTTATGTTCCAAATAGTTTAAATGCAGTTTTCCATTCGTCGGGTGTCACTAGTGTTAAAGAAAACTGGCTTACCTTTCAAGATGCAACACCTTTGCTGTAAGAAATTCAGAACTTATTAAAGAGAATACTGTCATTAGCATTTGTTGTTTTAGACTTGTAGCTGCAGTCACAGTAGTCAATTGAAAAACT